TTAGAAGCCGTTTATTTCATTACTATAGACAGACACTTTAATTTTATTTATATGGATATATGTTTCGATTATGTTATGATATTCATATTCGAGATTACAAGAATTCATAAGAAAATGTTAAGCAACATATTCTTTTAAATTACTATATTGATACAAACACAATTCGAAATATTGCTAAAAATAACAAAATAAAATTCGTAAAGAACGATTGCTTATGAATATCGCTTATGAATATACAAAGTATTCGAAATCAAAATTCTTGTGTAGTTAATGCAGTGAGATAATAACTTTTTGATTTCACTTTTCGAGTATTGTTTCGTTCGCTAAATATATTACCATAATCTCGCAAATCTTTCGCACGAGTTTATACAATTGATTTTGTTTTCTTGCAACAGAGAGCAGGTCAAGATCCAATGTGAATACTGGGAACGACGCATAAACATAATGTAAAGTCCACTTTTTATTTAGATTCAACAGGAGATATGCTTTGTGGTTATCCCTTGAGGGAGGTCTATTTAGCAGTGGACTTGTGTAGGTCTGTAATGATGATGATGATGATGATGATGATGATGATGATGATGGTGAACAGGAAAAATATTTAAAAAAGGCAGAAAAGGGAAGATTATTTATGTTTCTACGAACACTTTACATTTAAATTAAACTAACTTTTACGAATTTTGTCGCGTTTATTGATTTTTTTCATATTCCCTACCTTTTATTGTACTTTCTAGCACCCATGGTCTCGGGAGGGGGGGGGGGACATTAAAATGAGTTGTATACAATAAAGGAATGTAAAATAACTATTAACTATAAGCGAAAAATACGTAAAAATTTCTTTTTTAGAAAATGGAAGCTAGAATTTAAAACACACAACAATTTATTTAATTAAATAATGAATTTTATTTATTTGTTAGTAGTAATAAACATCAGTTTCATATGAGAGTTTTCTTTTAATTTGAATGTGCCTTTCATCACATATTAGTGAGGTTTAAAAATTATAAATATGAGGGATCTATCCCTCCGCACCGCACGCCGATTACATCCGAACGTAGCCGAATATCAAACTTCCGGCTCGGCTCCTACGTTCGACGTTCCTGACTACGACAAATATAATGAGAATGGGTGGCATGACCTTGTCAAGTGGACAATAAAACTCAATCTCTTTCGCTTCGCATTCGATGTAATTATTATAGTTAGTATTTTTAACAAACATAGTGCCTGAGGACAATACGATAAAAAATAACGTCTTTTAAAAATATTTTAATCATAATCAGACATCTTATTAGAAAACAGCTGCTGCTCGTTCCCTGACTTGTTTCCCTGTGTCGCCTCTTACGACACCCACGGGATGATATGCGCTAGTCCATCCTTAAACCGCCACTACACGATATACTTACAATATAATAATCTCTAATATATTTCACAAAACTATGTCTCGTGAGAGATTAGGTTAGACACTGTAGAGCAATCATCGTTTAAGAATTAAAATGCAGATGCATTGTCACTCCGGAGGACAAATTACTATTAAAAAGGATCTACCGGTTCTCGCCACATACTAAACGAAATACAGAAGCGTTCAGCCGCTGTGTTGCGCTGGTATTTTGTGAGAGTGTGGCCTTTTATATAGGATAAGGGTGACAAACGAGCACACATTTCACCTGACAGTAAGTGGTTGCTGTGGTCCATAGACATCTACATCTATTCTCGATTATGAATCGAAATGTAGATGCGTTGTCACCTGTAAGAACTAAGATAAAACACCACGTTTAAAAGGGGTGTCCAGTTCTCAAAACACAGCAGCATTAAGCTGTTATTTGACGCTGGTATTCCGTGAGAGCGTGGTCCTGCCCCGGTCGAGCCGACACAATCGTGCTACAACTGTACTATTCGGTTGCGGAGATTAGCCGGAACAAATAGACAGACAGATACGAATTTAATTTTTTTTTCCTTTGTTGAATACTAATGTATTATGTGAATTAACATTTTTTTATAGGAGAAAGGTGACAAGCGAGCACACAGTCAACCTAGTGGTAAGTGGTTGCGGTGGCCCATAGACATCTACATCTAACCTCGTTTGCGAATCAAAATGCAGATAATGTTGTCATCTATGAGGACTAAGATGGAATTCGTCTTTTCCAGTAAAAAGGGTCTCCGGTTCTCTACACTCACCGTACGGAACACAGCAGCGTTAAACTGCTATTTTACGCTGGTATTTTGTAAGAGCGTAGTGCTTCCCAAGTCAAGCCGACCCATTTGAGCTACAACTATACAATCAATATGTAACAGCTGAATGGAATTGGTATTTTACAATATTTTTACTTTTCATTAACATATTACGAAATTGATCTATCAATAAATACCACTAATTTGGAATAAACTTTCGGTACTAAGCAATAAACTACAAAATTATTGAATTAAATAAATCAATAAGTCAATTAAATATATCGAATAAAATAACACGTACCCAATTAGCAGTATATTATATTGATAGATCAATTTCATAATATGTTAATGTAAAATAAAAAATGAAATTAAATCAGTGCCACAGACTTCTATTCCGTTCTCTTGTAAAAAAACAACCAGCATATATACATTCAATTAAACAATTATTACTTTTTACCGAAATCTCTGACAACCTCAGAAATCGTAATAATATTGTCTATGTCTGTGCTGACAACGAATATAACCTTTTTAAAATTAAATTTTTTTTAATTTTTTTATTGTGGAACCTATTTTTTTTTGGATTATCTTATAATCCGTTCTTAGTGAGCGTCTACGTTGCGAAATGTGTACCTATACTAAATTTCAAATCAATCGGGTGTAAAGTTTTAAGAGATCTCGTGATGAGTCAATCATAAAAAAATATATATATATATATATATATATATATATATATATATATATATATATATATATATATATATATATATATATATATATATATATATATATATATAATACACTAGCTTGTTCCGGTTTCGCCTGGATAGGATATATTAATGTAGTGTTATTTAGATTTAATATAAATTTTCGGATGAAATACAGCCTATATTCCTCATGGAATTGCTCTTAACTGTTCGTAAAGTTTCATCAGAAACCGTTCAGCCATTCGATGATTAGCCTTTTTTTAGACTAAAATTTTAAAACTCGTTTTTTGTTTTAATAGCATGCTATTATGCCTGAGCTCCATAAAAGCTAGTTACTTTAATTTTATACAGACATACATTTAAATTTTATTACTATCTATGTGTAGATTGAAATCTACACCGTATTGAATTTATGAATAAATAAATAATCAATAATAATTGGTGTTTTTTAAATTTTGAAATCTGCGACCTCCGTGATCATCAATTTTCCATGACCCTTGCGTATAATTAAGCTTATACCAGAATATAATTAAATTGGAGGTCAAGTTGGCTAAGTTAAATTGAAGTTATTGATGAGTATGATGTATACGTGGGACTAAATGTCCGATTAGGTAAGTCCAATTTCGACCAAGAGATCAACCGACGAATCTAGGTCGGGCAGTGTTCGGGAAACTTCGACACAATTTCTTGTCCGATATTTCTCAAAATCTTGAGAGGATTGTGAAGTCGCGAGTAGGTATTTTCAAAAATGCTATCTGTTTCACATCACCCGTTCCGTATCGCCGTCGTGCGATAGAGAGAGTTGCAAATGTTGGAAGTAATTACCTACATTTTCTTTTTAAAATGTTTTTAAAATCCCCCCCCCCCCAAACCTTTACTAAATGAGACCATTTTGGTCTCATTAGATTCAGTATACCTTAATTTAGATCTGTACGTTTTTCTTTTTTAGTAATTCAGTTTAGTTTAATAAAAAAAGCTCAAGGAAGTTTTTAAGTCAAAAATATAGATATTTAGATGCTAATATCGTACGCAATATTTCCTTAAAATAAAAACGTACGGATCTAGTTTTTGACTATATTAACATTTCCAAAAATAATGAAAGTTAGACTATGTTTACGGGAGGGAAAACGTTATCGCTTTTTGTGTGAAAATTTACAGCTTCACAACCCTCTTAAGACGGAAGTATACGTAGTGTGGGTTGCCAGTGATGACAAACTTTACGAACAGTTAAGAGTAATGCCATGAGGAATATAGGCTATATTTCATCCAAAAATTTATATTAAATTTAAATAACACTACATTAATATATCCTATTCAAGCGAAACCGGAACAAGCTAGTGTAATATATGTATTAAAATAAAAAATAAAAATATAAATTTCTTTGCCACTTTCCGCTAAATATATAAAATGATGTGTCTTACTTGGATTGAAGCGCACCTCCCACCCTCCCTCAATTGCATACACTAACTCCGTCACCACTAGACCAAGCACCACTACTCTCAACACCACTATTCCAGGCAAGACACACCATCGACGATAATAGGAGTTAGTGTATGCAATTGAGGGAGGGCGGGAGGTGCGCTTCAATCCAGGTAAGACACATCATTTTATATGTTTAGCGGAAAGTTGCAAAGAAATTTATATTTTTATTTTTTATTATAATGGATTTCCGCAAAGTAACGCCTGATTCTATCAATTATATATATGTATGTAATATGTATATATATATATATATATATATATATACACACACACACAGTGAATTTCGGTTATAACGACGGCGGAGGGACCAGTTTAATGTCGTTGCTATATCTGGAGGTCTCTATATCCGAAATAATAAAAAGTCATGTACATATTTACTTATCATTTATTTAATTATGTTATACACAGGTGTTATTGAAAAAACGTGTTATAGTGCACTGTTTAAGATTAGTTTTTTGTCCACTCTGTAAGGTGTATTCCATTTTTATAATTCCTTCAACATCTAAATTATTCTGGCCTTCACCAAATGAACATTTTGAGCGTTGTTATAGCACATAATGCATCTCTAGTTGTTGGAATCTCATTTAGATTGCAATCTTCTTCCTCCTCTTCATCCTCCTTTTCTTGTGTTTGAAGCACAGACTCAATAATTTAATTATCAGTCAACTTATCAGTAGTGATAACTTGATCGTCAATGTTCGCATAAGTTTCCCAATCCGTAACTGTTGCTTCCGCTGATGATAATCTCGCCAATGGCAAATTGTCCAATTCATCATCAGAATCGTCATCAGTTGTATTTAAATTCGAAAAATTACCAAACCCAGCATGTGAAAAACATTTTTTAATTGTATCTGGAGTAACTTGTGCCCATGCTGTTGTTATCATATCAATGGCATCCAGAAGATTGATGGCAAATTGGGTAGTACTTTTTTCAATGTCGTTTACCATTTTCTCCACTAGAAGCTTTCGATAATGGCCTTTAAGAGTCTTAATTATACCTTGATAAATAGGCTGAATAACTGATCTGACCACCAAACACGGTGGTAAGAATGCCAGTTTGATGTTAGTCAAATTTTGAATTTGTGGGTGACCTGGACAATTGTTAATCAATTAAATGATCTTCTTTTGTTATGCTCTTAGCTGAGAGTCCCATTTCCGTAAAACTTTTTCAAAAATCTCCGATGTCATTCACGCTTTTTTGTTGGATTTGTAATCAACTTGCAAAGTTTTTACATTCTTGAAACACGTTGGTTTTTTCGCCTTCCCTATAACCAGCAATTTTCGTTTTTCGCCTGCCATACTTGAAGTAATAAGCACGGTTATTCTATCTTTTGATAGTTTGCCGCCAGCACACTTTTCTCCTTTGAATTTAAGTGTTCTATCTGGAGTCAATTTAAAAAATAATCCCGTCTCATCAGCGTTCCATATATGACTGTCGGTATACCCTTCAGTTAATTTTGGTAAAACTGTTCTCAACCAATTGTCACAGTTATTTTGCGACACATTGGCGGCTTCTCCACAAACTTTACCGACCACTATATTATGACGTTGTCTAAATCTGTAAATCCAGCTTTCTGAACATACAAAGTTTGTTTTCCCGAGCTGTCTGGCAAAATGATTAGCTTTCTCTTGCAAAAAAGGACCGCTTATGGGTACATTTTGGCTTGTCTGAGCTTTAAACCACACTAGGAGAGCATTTTCAATATCTTGATGAGTTGGATTACGATTTTTCTTTATTTTCAGGGATTTTGATTCGAAACACTCCATAATTTTAGTGCGAATTTTCAACATCGTTGATATTGTAGAATGTGAAACTCCAAATTGTTTACACAGATCCACATGGTTTTCTCCATTTTGCAGTCTAGAAATGATGTCCACTTTTTCTTTAACAGTAAATGTACGTCTAGGAGCCATATTCACAAGTTTAAGAAACACTGTGCGCTCACTGGAATTGCTATGTCTGATTCACAAGTTTAACTTCGTAAACATGCTTCGTAGTCCTACATACAAACTAAGCATTAGTTTGACCATCTGTGAATGTAAACAAAGGATAAGAAACCTTAATATTTTTATGAATGAATCTTTGTGCCTTTGCCGACTCAGTCGCAATATCCACAAGGGATTTCTAGGAATCGGTCATAAATCGTTCATAAAAACAAGTCGCTCTACCCGAAATTGACGCTATAACCGAAATCGCTATTACCGAATGAATTTCTTACGAAAGTATGCTTTAAAATCAAGGGACGTAAGTTTGACGTCGCTATAACCGAAAAGGCGTTACAACCGAGGTCGCTATAAATGAAATTCACTGTATATATATATTACACTAGCTTGTTCTAATCCCACCTGGTGGTAAGTGGTGATGCAGCCCCAGATAGTAAATCGCACTGTCTTAGCGTAACAAAAGCCTATTCACTCTTGCCTTAAAGACGCCCAGATTGTAATCGGACGAAAAGATAGAAGCCGGCAAATTATTCCACTCCTTTGCTGTACGCATTACAAAAGAAGAAGTAAACAGTTTGGTTCTAATGCGTGGAATATCGACAACAAAGGGGTGCAGACCCGCCGACCCTCCGGTTGTCAGATGGTGGAAAGGAGTGGCAGGAATTAAAGCGTGGAATTCCTGCGCACACTCAACGAAATGCATCCTATAGAATACTGAGAGGCTGGCTACTCTGTGCTTGAGGCTAAAATGATTGGTTTCAACCAAATTCAATAGAAAAGTTCGGTTGATTCAGTCATATAGTTGCTAACCAGTAACATCGCTAAGATGGAGATTTAAGGTTATATGAGTAGCCTCAGGCTGGTGCAGTATACCCTCTAAACAGGGGAGGACAAAATAAGTGAATTATGATTAAAAAAATTAAGAGAATTTCGGCCATGGCAGCCAGTCTCAAGTAGGGTTGCCAGTTGCCAACTTTTTTGAACAAATATAGTATTTTTCCCAAAAAAGATGCTAAAATATAGTACTTTGAGAAATTTAGGAGAAAAAAAGTACCCACACATTTATTTTTAATGATCTAACCACCTCACCTTCTATCTTACCTTAAATTAATTATAGGAGTCAGCAATTTAGATTCATATTAAAATAAATTAGCAATTAATTTTTAATTAAATTAACACATACTTTTTTCTTTCTTCTTTCAATGTTAAATTTATAATGGAAAAAAATATTTCCGTTTCCGCTAAACTTGAATTAGAGATAAAAATATAGTATTTTTCATTCCATATTATTTTTCAATAATATATAGTACAATTGACTGGAATATATTACGATACTATATACGTATTATAGTACGGGTAGCAACCCTAGTCTTAACAGAGGCTTGCCATTATGTCCACGCAGGATAGCCTTTCTTTGCTTTCACTGTCATAGTCTGAAGGAGACATTTAAAATAATTCTGCAGAAAAATACATAGAACCTTTGCCAGTGCCATATATTTAATTAAAAAAATTTAAAAATTATCCTTAAATAAATTTGTTTCGAAACTTCTTCACTATATTTTGATGCGTTATATTGTGAAGAAGGTTTTGGAAGATTTTAACGGCAATCTTAAAGTGCCTAAGCAGAAACTATATCTTTACATTCACATCACCATCAGATCACTTGTTTCATTGTTTTCACTAATGGTTGACATGTGCAGACATTTAATACACATAATCGCACCACGTTTACATAAGTTTCCCGCCAAAAATCTCACGATATTATTCATGAAATTTCAATAATTAACATTAAAGAAGGTATACGAAGTGATTATATTATGAGATTTAGGCTCGGCTCAGTTATGTAATTTATACATACGAGTAACTTGTGACTTTGTTCACCTTTACTTTCGAATGGAGATATTAAAACGAAACATTAAGTTAATTTGACCTACAACGTGGACAAATTTCAACGAAAACAATGTCAGTAATATTTAGTTAATTTCAGTAATATTTAGTTATAGAGGTTATTCGAGTCAAGTGTACTTCCCGCTAAAGGTAAAAATTAGAAAAAAAAAACCAAACTTTCAGTTTTTTTTATCGATTTGCCATCAACTTCCTTCATGTCTTACTTGGACGTCACTCCATTGAGTGAGGGGTCGCCCTATATTTCGGCTACCGGTACTAGTACGGTGCATTTTTCCCCATCGCTTGTCGGTTCCTCGAGCTATAAGGCCGGCCCATTACCACTTCAGCTTCTTCCTCTTTACTAATCCGTTGGGCTATGCCAGTCACTCTGGTTCTACTGCGGATATCCTCATTTTTAAGTTTATCACGCAGAGAAACTCCGAGCATAGCCCTCTCCATGGCTCGCTGAGCTACATAGACATTTACTTGATGAAAATTAAAAAAAATACTAAAAATAAAAACATCAGTAAAGAATAAAAAATATATCTTTAAATTTTAATTAAGAATATTGCCTTAAAAATGACTAAAGTGAATACCTGAACGACGAGATATTTTTTTCGTGGTTTCTTCTTAGGACAAAGAAACGTCGCTTTTGAAATGGTAGTACTCGTAGAATTAAAATCATATAAAAGTAATTTTAACTTCTTACGACGAAAAATAGGGATTTTTTATTACATTTAATTTCATTGTTTAGCCGATATTTGATGCATGTTTCACATTGGTTACATTCTTCAAGAGATAATTCTGTATATTTTTCTTTATTGAAAGGAAAAAAAAATTAGATACCTTTAATTGAGTTAGAGGGCTTTGGTCTTTCTTTAGGAACACTTTTAAGTCCCTTAACTTGAAAAAATAAATGATGACGATGTTTAGCGTAAATTTTATAAAGAAGCTTAGGCATCGGTATGAGTCAAGTGCACAAAATCCTCCATGAAAATTTAGCGTTCGGGAACTTTTGTGTCCAGTGGATACCTCATAATTTGACAGAGGTCCAAAAACTCCGTCGTGTTGATTGGTGTAGTGAAATGGTTCAAAGATTTAACGGAGGTGACTCAAATGCTGTGTTCGACATACTTACGGGTGGCGAAAGCTGGATTTATTGTTATGATCCTGAAACTAAGAGACAGTCTGCTGTCTGGGTGTTTCCTTCCGAGGAGTTGCCAACTAAAGTGAAGAGAGGTCGAAGCGTGGGAAAAAGATGGTGGCCTCGTTCTTCGGAAGGACAGGACATTACGCAACAATTGTTTTAGAGGATCGAAAAAGAATTACTGCAGATAACCCCCTAAGGTGTAATCTGTACTGATAAATGTCATTTTTTGACATCCGACGAAAAACAGGGGTGTATAAGTTTGACCGCTATGTGTGTGCCTCTCTGTGGCACCTTAGTTATTGAACGGGTGAACCGACTTGGATGCGGTTTTTTTTAAATTTAAAAGCAGGTTTTCTAGCGGTGGTTTCAGGCATGTTTGACTAAAATTGGTTCAGCCATTTGAAGATCATCAGCTTTTTTGTTTCAAGGGTATATAAAATTTTCAATTTAAATTATTTACTTTTAGATTAATGCTAATGTTTTATTATTGCGTGTTTGTGAAATTAGAAAGGCTACTTATTTATTTATTACTATAAGTGCATTTTGTATCAAACAATGACTCACTCATCAAAAACTTTAACCACTTCTTGGTTACATAGAAACTTGAAATTCGGCTTTAAGGTAGGTACATAATAAAGCGTATACAAATGATATAATATATGAATATCGACAGCCGGTGTTGATAAAGTTTAAATAAAAAATAAAAAACAGTAATAAACTATAAACGCTTTCTAAGGGAGTACCCACAATTATCGACGCGAAATTGGCTTCAGCCGCCGCTGGTCAGAAAAACCTTTATGTCTACGAAATACGGGTGTTGCTAGTGCTCATCGACTCGGCTCGGGCGACGCGTCACGACTTCGCTCGAGGGAAAAATGAGCGGTTTGCCGATTAGCTGATCGCATCCTTCACGGAGTACTTTTTATATACCTGAAAGCGTCTTACGGCGCTAAAAGTAGCCGAACATCTAATTCGATGTGTTTAAGTTTCCTACGGTGTTGAAATGATCCGCTCGTATGATTTTATCTCCGACGGCAGCTGATCGGCACAGAAGACGACCGAACGGCGCTGGATAGGAGTCGAATGGTGAACGATGAGTCGACTGCTGAATAAATGTGTCATAAAAACAGTCATCTTGACGACCGTTGGGAGAAGTTGACTGAAATGATACGCACTCGGCTTAAGCCGATTCCGCGTCGATATGTGTGTGGACTCCCTTAGCTAAAACTGCCCGCTTTTGAGGCTATGGTCTTCGTAGGTAATATTAATAATAATAATAAATCATTTTATTTTTCTCTTTACAAAGGTATATAATTTCACATTATTTATAATAGAGATAGGGTCTCAACGGGCGCCAATCTCTATAGCAGTTTTAAGAATGTTTTACATTGCTATAAATCCCGTGCTCCCTTACCAAATACTAAATAAAAAAAATACACTCTGAAATCGTATAGACCACATTCATACAGTAAGGCGAATTATACAGAAGACGAATGAGTATAATCAGCCTCTGTGTCTTTGGCTATGAGAAAGCCTCCATTGAAACTTAGGCTGTTTATAAATACCTTGCAGCGTTGCCGGATTGACTGGCGATATATAGATATCTTGAGACATTTAAATACTAAAAGCTCGATGTCTGTCCAAGTACAGGGTGGTCTTAAAAAACCTATCCAGTTGCATCGTGGAGTGAGACAGAGGGATACAATCAAATCAATATAAACGGCGAATACATCCCACACCTACGCTTTGCCGATGATATCGTCGTCATGGCAGAATCTCTGCAGGAACTACAAGACATGCTGAGCAGCCTAAATGAAGCCTCCCAACGTGTCAGTGTGTGTATGAATTTAAATAAGACGAAAGTCATGTTTAACAGTCATGTCATACCAGATCCGAATATCGTTGATGGTGAAATTCTTGAATTTGTTCAGCA